GCTGAACCATTCATCAAGTAACATTTAATTCGTGACTTCAGAAAAATTTCCAATGCAATAACAGTCATAAGTGACAGTTAGCTTCCAGCGTCAAAATCAAAATCAAACCTTATCCCTGCCTCTCTAGTCTCTATCAAGGATACCAAAACTTCTACCCTTCAGGAGAATCTATGATGTTTTAAATACTTAAGAAAAAAAAAAAAGTACAATAGGAACATCAAATTATCCAACCAGACGACAAGCTCAGCAGTTCCGTCAAGCCCCAGACCATAAAATTTTAACTGAATCAGCTTCTTTGTCTTCCAAAGAAATTTATCCAGTTGCCTTTGAGCACTTCTCAAAACAATTTGATATGTGCTAGAACGTGAGGCTGGGGATCACATGGTGTTAATTCACCAAAGAATGATAAGAAAAATACTTTAGAATATCGTAGAATTAGTGTAGAGTTGGATCAATTTATCCTGAGCTTCTGGGAAAAACTTCCGGGCAAATAGATAACATGATCGTTTTGAGCCGTTCAATACACAAGGTGTAATCACCATAGTTCTCTGCAAAAGGCGCATGAAAATGAATGAAAACTAAATAATAATAATGCATTCCTTCTAAAGAAGCAGAAGTAATAACATCACTGTATGCAGTGGAGCTTTGAACCTAAGTTAGAGATAGAGATTTATACCTTTGCATCACTTGTAAAATGTGGACTTTCGTCAATGTACTGCAGTGAATGAAATCATGTTATTAAGCAGATTTCAATATAAATGCTGTTCTAGATCCGCATGAAGCAAGACGCACGGAAGTTATGTTGAGACACTCATAATTATATACAACCTACTTTTAAACACAAATGAATTTCAGGAACAACGAATTCACTATTTCCTTCTTCTCTATTTCCCATAACTCTTCAAAGTTACTAGAGTTGTGTATTTTGCACACCCCAACAATGGAACCACCCAATTGATACCCTCATTTCTCATTAATTATCTCTTCTTGTCACATCTATCACTTATCGCCTCTCTCTTCTATTTCTATCATTGGGGTGCAGACACCCAAATGGGTGTCCATCGAACATCTTCCAAGTTATTAAGGTCCGCAGGGAACTATTAACACAAACTACTTTTGTTAAAAGGTAAATAACAGAGATACAAAATGAGGAAAAATAACTGATTAAGAATACAGAGTCTTCTAGGTGGTAAGCAATGGCTGGTATGGGTGGCATGGTATGCAAAAAAAAAAAATAACAAGAAAGAAATTCTTATGGAGCAGGTTACAATCAGCTTAGAGTAGAGTATAATTCATTAGAACAAAACCCAAGTATAATTCCTTAAGTACTTTCGGTGTTATTCTTCAATAATAATTAAAGTTTCGCCTCAATAACCCATGGCAACCTTTATTTCGCATTATAGAAACCCTGGACAACAATAATAAAAACACAAAAAAAACTGCACTTATGTTTAGTCCAGCTCATTAACCCCATGTCACTCATGGGAAACATAAAGAAAAAGAAAAGGGAAAAATTTCTTTGACGATTCAACATGAACAAAACAAACGCATATTAAGGGAATGGGAGAAAAATTTGTCACATACTGCTATGTTTTTCATGACTTGATAAGTAATATCCCGAGCTCTGAATGACCTTGGATGCCATTTTCCTTCAGACCAATCAACATATGTTACCGACCAATTTGCAATTCCACCTGGATCAAGCATCTAAATACACATCAAACGAGTTAGCTGGGAGAGATAGAGATGCCCATCATTGCAATTCAAAATAGAACAGTTTGGTGCACTGACATTAAAAAACGTTGGCAGGTAATGCTCATCAGCATAGCAGTTGCGGTTTCCCTCCATATTTGGCTGGGAAGTTTAAAACATGAACAACAGAGTTTTGTCAGTGAACCTATCTTTATATATTCCTTCCAACAATTTGCAAAAATAGCATCAACAGGAAACAGTACACATACTAACTCTGGAAAGGATGAAAGAAAAATACAATTATTGAAGTAATGGTATAGTGACTTTGTCAGCACGAATTAAATAAATTAACTGTTAGACTGTCAGTCATATTATCCAGAGAAGCCCATATACTTTTAGAAAATCATATAAACTCATGCATGCACCAGCAAGCACACTACTGATGGTATATCTGAATAAAAGAATAATTACTAGCGCCATACTTCATAATGCATTTCTTAACTGCGAATGAAGAAATATATTTACATATATGAGGATAAACAATAAAAAATAACCAAAAACAAAAGCATAAGAATGAAGAACCAATATATTTTATTGCTAGATATTAGATAATAAGTTACTGAAAATTATGTCCAGCAAATCTTAATAATCTTCCAGATAACTTAATCATGTGCAGGCTAATTATAATTTAGAAACTTATTATATCCTGCACTAAAATGCTAATCAAGGGGGTTTATTTCTTAGCAAGTTAAATTTGATTTCTGAAAGAAAGTGGCCAATTTTTTTGAATTAACAGTGGGCTTAGTGTAGTTCAAATCATAAATACATTTACCTACACTAACATTCTTAACAGAGGTGATAGGAATTTAGGAATAAACCAAATGGATCACACAATCCATTCAGTTAGCAAACCAAAAAACAAAAGTGGTTCTTAATAGCACAGTACAGTACCCTGCAATGGTGCCTGAATTTTGAAAAGTAGAGATTGTCTGCCATAATTATTATAGCATGCTGCCGTTTCATTGAGAACCACTGCATCAGAAACCACAAGATCTAAATCAGCTGCATGTCAGAAAAGTTTTCATTGGTTTCCTAAAATCCTAAATTTGTAATATAAAATCCATTTTTCATCCGAATTTTGACTGTGATGAACGGTTATGCATTTTAGAGGAGACATGAATGCCCAAAAGAAGGTAAACTCTGAATGTCAAAAACTTCTGCCAGGTATAAGTTTCACAAAGTATAAACTAAGAATGAAATTTGACAAATTAAAATGACTGGAATTCAGATATTTTCGAACAAACTTCAAAAAAAAAAAAAAAAGAAAGAAAGATATTGTCCAACAACTCTTAAGATTTTTTCCTGTTTTCATAGTGCATGCCATGAAGGATAGCCTGGTAAAAGAAAGGACAAAAAAATGGATGCAAATGAATTCCTCGGCAACATCTCTCATATTATAAAGAGTAAAAATTACTTTGTAAATGAAATAAATGCTATTTCCATTGTTGCTACAATCTGCAGATATGAATACAAAGCAGGGTAAACTGAGGGAGAAAGAAGTCATAAAAGTATGCAACAAGGCTCCTTTCAAACTGGATTAGCCATGTGATGCTAAGTGAAAGGGATACCAGAAGAGAAGAGTGACCTCATGAAACACTACAATTGAATGGATGCTCAATTTTCTAGCATAGGCAGATATCAAGATCCATAGAAATTATACCTGTGAACCCTTTCGGAAATCCTTCTTTTCTACTTCAGGCAACATATGTTCTATATACCTTCCGTTTCCATGAGGACCAGGATCCACATAGCTTTATCCAAAAGGTGAGGGGGGAAAATAGAGACAGATAAGTCCAAATTACCATCCAAAAATTCAGCAGTGTAGAATCTTAAATGAAAGGAATGAGTTAGAATTTCATCAACAAATTTGTAGAAAGTTCTTTTATATTTTCTTACCAGTCAATAAAGCTGACATTTGTTAATAATAAATAGTTGTACACAAATTCAAAGCGGCGCACCGGTACACAACTGAAGCAGTAATGAATTTGCCATTGATTAGATTAAATCCCATAATTCGTGCCTTAAAAGCAAAAAAGAAATAGATAACAAGAGTACCTTTCAGACAACAAGACAAAATGTTGGTTATCAGGGTCTAAAAGTGCATTTGCCAAAAGTCTCCTTTCTGCCTCAACCATAGAAATTTTTCCCCAGACTACCTGAAAGAAATTGAAAACCATTAGGCACAAAGAAACAGATGGAACGACCTTATGAAAATTGGATGCATGTTAAGTACCAGGTAATCATAAGAATAGAAGAAAGTTTTTTTATTTCTTCTGGTGTTAACAATATCCTTATAGTTCTGGCTCCAATTAGAAAGAGATTCTACCATACTTATACTATCATCATAAGAGATTTGTGAACTGTTTATCAGGAAAGCCACTATATTTTTTTATGTGTATATAGAAAATAAATGATCCACATGAACAGTGGTCACTGGTTCTCCCTGATTAGTCGAGACACAAAGGGGCAGCTTTGTTACAGCTAATAGAAAAACAGAGAGTAAAATTGATCATAGAAAAACAGAGTAACAGAATAATGAGACTATGAGAGATTTATGTGATAATATCCTCAAATTTAAATCAAATGTTACTTTTTTCTATTTAGAGTATGCATCAAATTGAATATATTCTCCATTTTTTAATCATCGTTAACTTACATTGGAACTTTAAACTTCCATATAAAGTGCTTGAAAATTATATATTGAAATCATGGGTTATTTATACACCATACCGGTTCACTGCGAATGTCTCGGCCAACAAAATAGGGACTGACATGTATTGGCTTTTCCTTTGACGCATGTACATAAATAGAGAATTTGCCCTCATGGCCCTGCATTTGGTAATGAGCACAATTCAAATATAATGTAAGCAGCAAATCTATCACATTTGAAGGAAAAGGAATTGCACTTGGTATTTATATCCAGTTTCCAGAATGACAAGCATTGACATTGATATTTTACTAAAAAGAGAAAAGTATACCACTAATAAATCTTGGTATTCTGGCCTTATGGGAACAGTTTAAGAACAATAAATTTCTATTACAAAAAGAGTGGACAAAAATAGCCAAGTACATGGAAAATAAAAATAAAAACACATGCTAGAAGATACTATTCTGCCGTAAGGCCTAAGCCTCCCAGAATTTCCTTCATAGATTCAATACTATTTGGTTTGGTAATTGTGTCTGATGCAGACCACAAATTGTTGTGTTCATTCACGAGTGGGGTACAGTAATATTATATAATAAATGTTAATCAAATCTAAATATGGATGTGTGCTAGAACTAATTTAACCTGTGTTAAATAGGCTACATTTAACACTCCCACTCTGAAGCATACAAATCATGTGCACCAATCTTGTAACAAATATATTCAATTAAGAACTGTTCGGGGATTTGATGTCAGCTAGATGATCATTGGAACTGATGAAGTCAGTTGTAGTTTTTTAATTTTTCAGCAAGGAACTTTTCCAGTATAAAGTGAGAATCAAACTGCATTTGGTTCTCTATTGAAAAATTCGATTGGAGGCAATGTGGAGAACGACCTGATTTTCACAAATCAACTTCATCTACTTGAGATCTTCTAACTTTAATTGTTGAACTTGAAGCCAATTCACGCACTCTGGCTGTGCCACAACATGGCATTCAGCCTCAACACTAGATCTGACAACTACGTTTTGTTTCTTCTCCATGAGATTAAGATACCCCCAAGAAGAACATAGTAGCATTAAGTGGATCTTCTATCAAGAGGAGATTCTGACTAATCAACATCAGAGTAGCTTAAAGCTCACACTTTTAGTATTGCCCACATAAACCAAACCTTTGCCAGGTGCACTTTTAATGTATCTGAGGATGTAAACAGAAATAGTGATACGTGCAGGAGCAATTAGAGGTGACAAAGATGAGTCCTAGAGGAAGGATTCAATTGGTACACAACAAGCAGAAGAAAGGAAAGGGTGAGTCTCAAAAAAAGTGGCATCAATTGAGACAAAAATAGTGCTAAAGATCAGAAGAATAAAGCCCAGTTACCCAATAACGATTTTGCAAGTGGGAGTAACCAAGGAATATGTATTTGTGAGGTTTGGCAGCTAACCAGTCCTTGAAGAGAGTGAGATCATGATTAAAACACGTGCAACAAAAGACTCAAAGTGGAAGAGAATACAATTGTTGCTTTGGAAACAATAGGGTGAGGAACTTGGTTGTTCAACACAATAGAGGGCATGCAATAAAATATGCCTTAAAAGGTTATCTTATCAGGCTGCATTTTTACCTTCTTCATTTCTTCCAACAATGGCTTGTAAGCCATGTCAATGTGTTGCATAAGCAACAAGCATTGCCGACCAGGCTTGTGTGTCTCTCCTAGGCATGTTCCTGAACACACGAACCGCATCATCCAAACTCCCACATTTAGCATACATATCTATAAGTGCAGTATTTACCTTAACATACTGATCAAACCCATTCTTCTAGAGATACTTGTGGATCACCTCCCTAAGTCCAATGCCCCTAGAAAAGTGCATGATGAAAGTGCAAAAGCACGGGACATCATTTGGCTTGAGGCCACTCTCGTGCAATTCTCTGAACAAAGTCAAGGCCTCACTAGGCCAGCTATTCCAAGCACGACTCATGATGATTGCATTATATGCGACAACACACAGTCATCAATTTTGTCAAAGACCCTTCTAGCAGGACCTATATCATTGCAAGCAGAGTACATGTTTATGAGTGTTGAGCACACATACATGTTATACACTGACCCAAGTTTAACAGCAAGGCAATGCAGTTGTTTACCTTCCTGAAGTGCCTTGAGCCTTTCAGAAACCTTGAGAAGGGAGGAGCAAGTGTAATCTTCTGGATGGAGGCCAAAGCACAAGACTTGAGAAAACAGAAGGAATGCTCTAAGATGGTCATCAAAGTGTTATACCTAATTTCTGGTTGGATATCCATTGATGCAGAGACAGTAGAGTTGAACTTGGAGGAAGTTACTCAATAACTTTCTATATTTTCTTTTCTGTTAATACCTAACTTCTGGTCTAGCTCTATAAGAGCATAAACTTAAATCACCAAGCTTACTTGATGAAATAGTCCATAGCCAACAAAGCTATAATTTTAAGCTATTCTATAAAACCAACCAAATACACGATTTCCTTAGTACACAGTTATGACACAGTTCAATCACAAACAGCTAGTGTGAAATTCAAATATATCTAACAAAAACAGACAAATTCAAGAGCATTATGATTCATAAATTTTGACTAAAATGCCATGTAGCTTACTTTTTTCAATGCTTATCAAATAAATGGTTTGAAGTTTGTTATCTCCTACCACTTTACAACTTATTTATCAACTGATTGCCATTGTCCCTATTTTCATAGCTTATGATTCATTGTCCATTCTTTCATACTGATTTTTCCATTGTAATCCAAATGAATTTCTACCCAGGGATAATAGGAAATATATCTTGAACACAAATTGCCAGCAGATTATCTGCTCAACATAAACCAGTCCACAGAATAGGGGCAATAAACTGTCTATTTTGTACCAAGGAAATCAGTCTGTGAAGAACCCAAACACACAAGCAGTGTAACAAAACTACAAAGAAAAAAAAATAAACAGAAAAAGTTACTAAACACAGCATCCATAACACACTTAAAAAAGAAGGCAGAAGAGCAAAGTTCATGATCCATCCAAGGAATAGGAATGGCATACCTGAAAGAACATGTGCCAGAGCCTCTCGAAAGGCAAGGAACCCGGAGTCAAAAACAAAAAAGCAACCTTAGGCTTCCTGGTCTGCACAGGATAATAGTTGAGAATCTCGTTAATAACAACCCTAGACTCGACCTCCGCATCACTCAACTGGCGGGAGCGAGCAGCCGGCGGCATATCAAAGGCGCCGCGGCCGCAGCCTCCGGTGGAAAAGAGGGAGCACGCCGAGGGGCTTCGCGGCGGGTAAATGTAGGCAGCAATGAGAAAGACGCAGACTATAGAAACAAGAACAATGATCCAAGTAGGCCTCCTTAACTGTGGCCGACTTCTTGACCCAACCATGATCAAAAGATTCCTTATGAATTGCGGCCATGCACGTTCCTTCTTCATTTAAGTTCAAGGTACCTCACCAGCTTCCCCATACATCCACAATCCATCAACATTTCCTCATTATTATTTATCCAATCTCAAACGACGCCGTCTCACTGCACAGAGATAGTAACAAAAAGCTACATCACACACACACACACACAGATAGTAACAATAAACAAACACTTCAATTGCGTAAACAATCAACATTACTATTCATAATTTCATTTCCCTCTCTCACCAACAACGAATCAAAAAACACAATCCAGATCTTATCCCCTAACTAACAAACAAACAAAGACGTCATTAACTCCGAATTAAAAAAAAAAAAAGATCCAAAGGCGCGGTGACACGAAGCATGAACCCTAACGCAAAAATCGGAGCGAAACGGTAAATGAAGAAAGCGAAAGCGAGGATTCAGATCTTAAATTAACGCATTGAAATGAGATTGAAGAATGCGAACCTGTGATCCGGAGAGGGATCTAAGGAAGAGGAAGAAGATGAATAAATAATAAATGAAGAAGAAGAAGAAGAAGAAGTGGAAAAAGAAAAATAAGAAACGTGACGCAGTGACAGCGACAGAGACAGAGCGTGGAAAGAAGAGAAGAGAGAGGGAAATGGTAATGGCAATGGCAATGGTTGAGATTTGCGAAGCCAAGTGGAGAGCGTTGATTCCGGTGCTCTCAATATATATTATATAATAATAATAATAATAATTAATTTAATTATAATTTATGGAGTAGAGACATAACATAACACAGCGCGGGTGTGTGGGTCTTAAACTCTTTCTCCGCCCATCGCTGTCTACACTTCAACTTGTCATCTCGCACTCATTTTCGGACACTATTCTATCATAAATCAATATTCACTCTTCTTACTTTTCTCCTACACTTCTACATTCATAAATATTTATATTTATATATTTATCGTAAGTATCTATACTTTAAGCGTGTGATTCAGTGATAGAGGTTAATTCACGTTTAAGCAAGATTAGGGGTTCAAATTTTGCCTTGTGTATGTAGTCGCATTAAATTTTAGGGTTAGTTATCTCATCCTTTGAGATGCCTCCAACCTAGCGAGGAGATTATCTAAGTATACCTTAGTTGCTTAAAGTTTTTTTTAATTAGTTAAGATTTTAAATTCAATATGATTATTTTATTTTTATTGATTTTAAATTTTAAAAAATTTAATTTATTTTTTAAAAAGTTATTTGATATTTGTGTAATTCTTATTCTATTTTAAATTTATATAAAATAAATTTTAATTAATATAATTTTATAATTATTATTTTATGTTA